TTAGGACTTGGGCGTATGCCCGGAATTTAATTTGGAGGTCCCTAACTTGAGTTATCGCCATTTGTTTAAAATTGGAAGTTTGAAAGGTTATAGATTCCAAAGTTTGACCACGAATTTGAATTTATTGATATCGGGGTTGGAATCCAATTCTAGAAATTTGAATAGCTCCGTTATGTCATTTATGACTTGTGCGCCAAATTTGAAGTCATTCCGGATTCATTTAATACTTTTTGATATAGGTTTTGTAAAGTGAAAAGTTTGAAACTCATAAGTCCAAATTGAGGTGTGAATTGTAATTTCGATGTTATTTGAGACCCTGAGTAAGTCCGTATTATGTTACGGGACTAGTTGGTATAACTGGACGAGGTCCCGAGGGGCTCGGGTGAGTTTCGGACGAGTTTCAGACTATTTTTGTAAAACATTGCAGGCCTGGTTCTGGTGTGTCACAACTGCGCGATTTTGGCCGCAGGTGCGTGCTCACTTCTGCGAAAGAAATGTCGCTTCTGCGATGCTGAGGATGGAAAGGAAGCTTTGCTTCTGTGAAGCTTTGATCGCAGGTGCGATACCGCTTATGCGGTCAGCCGATCGCAAATGCGCACCCCATCACTTATGCGGCTCCTTCTTGCGCTTCTGTGCAGCCGCAAATGCGGCCCATTTTCCGCAGATGTAGAACTCGCATGACTGCTTGGCTTCACAAATGTGGCCCTTGTCTCGCAAATGCGAGGCCGCAGATGCGACCTTTCGCCCGCAAATGCGAGACTGGGCAAAACATTAAGGGGTCGAAAATGGCCATTTTTCTTCATTTCGTTTGGGTTTTAAAACCTCGGTTTTTGGGCGATTTGAAGGAGTTTTTCACGACTTCGAACTGGGTAAGTGTTCCTTATCATATATTGATAATATTTCATAAATTCATGTCTATATTCATCATTTAATTCGGAATTAGATGGAAGAAATTAGAAGTTTTGTAAAACTTTTCAAAAACGAAAATTAAGGATTTGAAGGTCCATTTGGCATCGGAATTTGATAATTTTTGTGTGATTGGACTTGTCTCGAAACGGGTGTTCGGATTTTATGAGTTTTTTTTAAATTCGAGACGTGGGCCCTACTGTAAAGTTTTTAGATGAATTTCGCATTTTACTTCAGAAAATTAGTAATTTCATATGGAATTAATTCCTACGATTCGTGTTGAGTATATTGAATTGTTTGTGACTAGATTCGAAGATTTCGGACACTAATTCGCGAGGCAAAAGTTTATTGGAATCTTGAATTTGGTTGCAAAGCGAGGTAAGTGTCGTGGTTAACTTTGACTTGAGGAAATATGACTTATTTGTCTATTTGCTACGTGATTTAATGTGCGGGTACAATGTATATGTGAGGTAACGAGTACTTATACGTTGTGGTTGAGTAAAAGCATGCGGGTGAAATTTGTTTATTGTGAATAATTGTCTATTTAATTAAAGATATTCCTGCTTAAGTTATTAGTATTTATTTGATCATTTTTCATGAAATTATTGTTGAATATTTTGGAAGATGAGGTCGGTATTCTGGTAGTGAATTGATTGATAAGTATATATCCCCACATTCTGATACTCTTCCGAATTTATATTATTATTTTCATGGTAAGGAAGAGTGTAAAAGCATGAAGGGTGATGCCGTGCTAATTTCACATTAATATTTATTGAATTATGAAGTGAGGAAGAGAGTTAACGCATGAAGGGTGATGCCGTGTCATTTTCAAAGAGTGTAAAAGCACGATGGGTGATGCCGTGCCATAAGAGAGTTAAAGCACGAAGGGTGATACCGTGCCAGAAGAGAGTTAAAGCACGAAGGGTAATGTCGTGTCAATATTATTATTTATTTGTCAATTTATGGGAGTAAAAGCACGAAGGGTGGTACCATACCATTTTTATATTATCAACTGCTCATTTTATAATTGATGATTTAATTGGCTGCTACGTGACACTTCTCCTGCTGATTTCTATATCATTCCCCTTCGTATGTTTCCTCCCAAATTTATAAATTGTTATTTATTGTGTTATTGTTGTTTCGTATTTGTATATACTTGTACATGTTATTTACCTACGTGTCTTGTCATAGCCTCGTCACTACTTTATCGAGGCTAGGCTCGACACTTACGGAGTACATGTGGTCGGTTGTACTCATACTACACTCTGCACTTCTTGTGCAAATTTTGAAGTTGGTCTCAGCGGTGTACCATAGACTTGCTCGGATTCAGCTACCAAGAGGAGACTCGAGGTATAACTGCACAACGTCCGCAGTTCTGAAGTCCCCTTCTATCTTATCTTAGATGTGTATTATCTTTCAAACAGTTTGAATTTTATTTAGACCTTTATTTGTATTATCCTAGTAGCTGGTGCACTTATGACACCAGATTCAGGGATGTATTTTGATGATCGGTTGTTATGGTCTTCCACACTTTATTTCAGTAATTGACTTCCACTTAAATTGATTTGTTTAAAAATGGTTAAGATTTTTCTAATGTTGGCTTGCCTAGCAAGTGAAATGTTAGGCGCCATTACGGTCCCGAAGGTGAAAATTTTGGGTCGTGAAAAACTGATCCCAAGCACCCCCAAAATCCATCACACACGCACGAAGCATATCCTCCAATATCTAAATAGTGCGCTCGGACTGTCCGTCCGTCTGAGGGTGAAATGATGTGCTCAACTCCACCCGAGTACCCAACTCACGTTGTACGGCTCTCCAGAACTGCGATGTAAACTATGTACCCCGGTCAGAGATGATAGATACCGGTACGCCATAAAGCCTAATAATCTCGCGAATGTAAACCAGAGCCAGCTGCTCCGAGGAGTAAGTAGTAACCACAGGAATAAAATGAGCTGACTTGGTCAATCTATCTACAATCATCCAAACTACATCGAACTTCCTCTGAGTCCGTGGGAGCCCAACAACGAAATCCATAGTGATCCTCTCTCATTTTCACTCTGGAATCTCTAACTTCTGAAGCAATCCACCCGGTCGCTGATGCTCATATTTCCCCTGCTGACAATTTAAGCATCGAGTTACATATTCCACTATGTCCTTCTTTATCCGCCTCTACCAATAGTGCTACCTCAAGTCCTGATACATTTTTATGGCACCTGAATTAATGGAGTACCGCGAACTGTGAGCCTCCTGGAGAATCAACTCATGCAAACCATCTACACTAGGCACACATAGCCGGCCCTGCATCTGTAATACATCGTCATCTCCAATAGTGACTTCCTTGGCATCACCGTGCTGAACCGTGTCCTTAAGGACAAGCAGATGGGGGTCATCATACTGACGCTCCCTGATACGATCGTAAATAGAAGACTGAGAAACTATACAAGCCAAAACTCGACTCGGCTAGGAAATATCCAATCTGACAAACTGGTTGGCCAAGGCCTGGACATCCAAGGCTAAAGGCCTCTCTGCTACTGATAGATATGCTAAACTGCCCAAACTCTCTACCTTGCGACTCAAGGTATCGGCCACTATATTAGCCTTCACGGGATGATAGAGAATGGTGATGTCATAATCCTTAAGCAGCTCCAACCATCTCCGCTGCCGCAAGTATTCAAGTAATGAAATTATTATCACGGAAATACAACATAGACATTAATACGGCCGATAAGAAGTAATAATAGTAAAACCATGTCCAAATAGAAAGTATTCCGACAGTAACTTAGTAATTAATATTAAATATGTGAGATAATATCTAATAGGTAGGGTATTGAACATATTACTATTGGCATATGAATAATGGATCAAATGTAAAGTATAAAAATTTCGGATTTTCGAATATCCAAAAATACAAAGTACCAAATCCAATATCCAATCCGAAATCCAAAATTTTTAAAAATCCAATTCATTATCCGAAAATTCAAACCAAAAATCCAACAAATTCGAATTTCGGTTTGGATTTCAAGTTTGCCCAAAGTATGACCACCCCTAGTTGAATTGGTTGGTTTGCGTTTCTCAGACTCTCACATTTGAAGGGAATAAATTAAAATTCAAGGAGTCCTTTTGTCTATTTTGCTCTATTATTATGTTTAGGTGGGCATACATATTTTGGACATGTTTATACATAATGGTGAATGTCCCAAGAAAATATTAATGACGACATTAAATTTATGCCATAATGTGAAACTATACAGAAAGATGAGGGCGAGAATTACGTTGATGGCGAGAATTAGGGTAAAAGACTAGTAAGTAGTCAAATATTTTTCTTTGTCATATCAATAGTTTTAGTATTATTTTCATATTTTCTTATCCTTAGAGTTTTATATTACATGTTATTTCTTTTGCTTCTGTTATCCTATTATCTTGCTATTGATATTGCTTCTCTTTTATGGTTTTTTCACTACTATATTTCTTCTTAAAACTGCTATGATTATGCTTTTCTACCGAAAATAGCTTCTTTACCTTCGCAAGCTAGGAATAAGCCTGCATACACTACCCTTCCTGAATTCCACTTGTGAGGTTTACTGGGTTGTTGTTGTATAATAGAAAGATGAGACAACGAATCCAAAAATAAATGGCAGACTACTTTAATTTGTGTCTCTTCTATTTTCTTTTTATTTTTATTTTTGGCAATGCACCTTTGTTATTTTCAAGTAAAAGCCAAATTTTTGCTACGAGAATGACCTTTTATTTTGGTTTAGTGGTGTCATATTCATGGCTAGAAATACATGGTTCACCTTGATCCTGGCATTTATGATTCGCAGACATTATTTGTAATGTTTATTACCTAGGCAGATTTACTCTTGTTTAAAGTATGACATAAGTCTTGTGAATATCATGACTTCAATTTTTTATATGCTTTTGATCATCTCATACTTATTTTTCCAAGGTTGGGGGAAAAGAAGAGGAAATTATGGCGAATAATGTGACAATATCTTTAATTTCTAAACATTATTCGTCTCACTGATTAGATTAACAAATTATTTTTACAGCTAGATGTTAAACAAAGAAAGAATAATAGTGCTTTGAGCTTTCCCTAGAATCAATGACCAAGCGTACTACTAAAAATAGTCATTCTAAGTTCACAAGCTTAGATAAGCAACTTTATGTGCAGTAACTTGTTCTTTAATCAATTCCCCTAGAATCATTAAAAGCTTTTTTAAAAATAATCCTCTAATTATACATCTATTGAACATTATACAATGCATCGGGAGTCTTGAAGCAACGATAAAGTTGTCCGTATAATCTATATGACACGCGTTCGAGCTGTGGAAGCAACCACCAATGCTTGCATTAAGGTAAGTTGTTTACAACGCACCCCTTGAGGTACGACCTTTCCCCGAACTCCACGTGAATGCGAGATGTTTTGTGCACCTGGCTACCCTGTAAGGGTTAAAAGTTATATTTTTCTAAGAGCATACATATATAGTATTGATTAGTAGCTAGTAGCAATCTTCTCTATACATCAATCCACAAATCGAAAATACCCTTTATCTCGTACTACTCTCTCGATATATAGAATCTAATCTGTAGCAACAAGACTTTCTTAAATTCATCGTAGCATGAAAAATGATAAACTGTTACTATTATTTTCCTGAATTTATTACGAGCGAAACAGCTTAGCAGCCAAGAAAAAAAGACCAAAAAATAACAAGACCATGGGAATAATTGGTACAAATAGTTAGTATCTATTATTCAAAATACAACAGCATATGTTATGACTCAACAAATGCTCATAATTCTGTAAGACATGAACTTAGAGAGCATCATTTTCCTTTTCTTTTTTGGGCCTGAGACAGAAAAAAGGGTAGCCCGGTGCACTAAGCTCCCGCTATGCGCGGGGTCCGGGGAAGGACCGGACCACAAGGATCTATTGCACGCAACCTTACCCTGCATTTCTGTAAGAGGCTGTTTCCACAGCGCGAACCCGTAATTAACCTCCCGGTCGCATGACAACAGATTAATTTATTTAACTAATGCTGCAGACCGAAGATTTGACTAATCCTTCCTAATAACACAAAGTTTTATCAGTGTAATTTACATTACATGGTAACGAAATTAAGAACTACCTATCTTTTTTTGTTGGATTTTTGGAGAAGAATCTGCAGCTGTTTGTAATGTTGCTGATGATGATACCTCTGAGACTCTTATCTGTTCAAGATCATCAATAACAATAGCTTGTTCTCTGAACTTCTTATATATATCACCTTTGTAAAATTTCCTTGTTCTAATCACCAGAATTAAGGAAACAGCACAACTAATCAATGTAGCTCCAGTAATTATAAGAAAAGCCAATTTGTAACACTCCACTCCAATGCATGTTAAATCTTCACCATCTTTCCTTTTTAGCCCTTTTGCTAACATTTGCTTAGTAGCAACTTTATCATATAAATGTCCAGCCACTTTAACATTAAGCAAATATGCACCAACAGGGCTAGCACCAGCACCAAAATTATACAATGTAGAGTAGTATTTTAACCCGAAGAGTTCAGATATAATCGCGAAAATTAAAGGCCATTGAGCACCAAAGCAGAACCCCATTAGTACAGAGGCGATATAGAGAGAATTAGGGACGCCAAACGCGATGAGAAGATGACCAGCACAGGAGAGAAGGAGGACTAATGTGAGCATCAAAGGACGAGGGCATTTGTACTTTGTCAAGAAGATTTCTGATACAAAACCAGAGACAACTCGTCCGAGGTAATTCCATATGCTTACTAGTGACACAAATGTTGTGATGCTTTTCTCCGGATAACCCAAGGCCTTCCCTATTTGGCCTAAGTTGTCGATTGCAGTTAATGTCCCGCCCACGCCAAATGTTGTAGTTGTGAATAAAATGATCATGTCTATACTGAAAAGTGCTTGTAATATTGTATAATCATCTCCTCTTGGTGGTGGATTGAACACATTACTAAAGCAAGAAGTAGTCTTTTCATCACATTCTTTTGGTAATTCAGGACTCGAAGCTAGCTTTTGAGGCTGAGTTAGTTCTACTGAAGCTAGATTTTCGCTAACAACTTTCAAAGGGTGGTCATTCAATGCTTGTTGTTTAATATTCCAAAGTTTAAGATCTTCTTTAAAGACAATAACTAGAGGAGCAAAGAGCAAAATTAGTACAACTGCTGCACTACCTGAATACTCTGGCCTTGTGAAATTGACCTTATTTTGAACGATAATAATAATCATGATAAAACCAGCAAGACCAAGTGAAATATAGAGAAATTTGTAGAAAATTTTGGTCTCATTAGCCTGTCTAACAACTTTCATAATCCGAATCGTTCGAAGAAAAATACAAGACACAACTGCTGGCAACCAACCAATTAGTAAAATCAAAGACTTACCATTATTTCCATAAAAAGCATGGTATAATTGAGTAATAATAGCACCACTTAAGCCAACAAAACCTTTCAATAATCCTAAAAGACTTCCTCTACTTTCTGGGAAATTCTTAACACAAGTAACTAAAGCACCCGTATTAGCAAATGTTTGTGAATTTGCACCAATACAAATATACAAACACATTTGCCAAATAGCAGGTTTAGCTATATGTCCTGAAACTGATAACCATATCATAAAATACCCAAAAAAGTTCATAATTGCTCCTATAAATAAAACAACCCAAGGTGGAGTTACCTCATTTATTAGGCCTGCAATAATCCCAACATTACCACCTAAATCTTTGAAGAAACTTAACAAATTTAACGTCGTTTGATCATATCCTAACGACGATTTGATTTCTCCACTGTAAAGACCAAACATGTAAGTTGCACCAGCCATTGACATGATTAAAAGGGAAGCGAAAACCATGAACCATCGGCCTGTGAAAAAATGGTGGCCGAAATTCGCCATTGCTCTAAGGCCACCATTTTTGTTCAGATTAGTGTTCACCATTTTCTTGACTTAGGGTAAGGATTCTGGTGATTTCAGCTTTAATGTTTTTTTGGTTATGTAAATGATTGAGTGTACTATGGCATGTATATATATTTGTGTGGCAGTGTTAATGACTTACTTGAGCTATATGTAATCTAAAATTTGCATTGACTTAGTAATTGAATATCCTTTTTTGCTTTTTGCAAGTGGAGGGTGGGCCTTGTAATAAGGAAAATGACAATTTCATTTTTCTCAGTCTTAAACATGTAAATAGCATGTTGTACAAAATGAGACGATTCAATATATCTTTACGTGTGAATGTTAGTTTTGGAGTGTCCGCACCGGACAGTAACGAAGCCAGAAATTTTCTTAAGGCTTTTCAAACTTGAAAGAAATGAAAAAATTCTCCGACAAAGGATGTTCAGTATATGTTATATACCTCTAAAACCTAAAATTTACCTATATACATAGTTAATTTTTCGATGAAGGGTGATCAATTGACCACCCTTTAAGACATGTAGCTTCGCCTTCAGAATTTAAATTCGATGGCTTCGACATTAAGTTCTTACCATTGAATCACTGCACTTTTAAATTAACTATAAGTTTAAACAAATATTGAAGTTTTAACAATATTCACTTATAATTACTCTTTGTATCAAGAAGTACTGGTCTTAGTTGAACCCGGTAAAACCAACCTTATCCGTCTCTTGGTCAGTACCAGAGCCACATCCAATATGCAATGAATCTCCTTGACAAAAGAAAAATACGAATTCAAATTTCAGGTGTAGCATTTCTTGGATTCTAAGAAGGTGTTTGGCTAAGCTTATAAGCTGGTCAAACTGGCTTATAAGCACCTTTTGACTTATCTACGCGTTTGGTAAACACTCAAAGTGCTTATAAGCCAAGTGCTTATAAGCTAAAATCAGCCATAAGTCATAAGCCGGTCACCCCCAACTTATGGCTTTTCAACTTATAAGCACTTTTAGTTTGACCAACACTTTTACTAGTTTATCCTTAATAATATTTTCTAAATCATAAAATACTTTTTCCAAAATAAATTTCTTAACTTTCTCTTCATTCCATATTCGTTATTAATTCTTTTCTTTACAAAGAAATTTTTAATTTATAATCTTTTGAAAAAGATTCAAGGGTATTTTAGTCATTTTAACAAAAGAATAGCTTATCAGCATTTTTTAATCAAACACATCAACTGCTTATTATCAGTTTCAGCACTTCTATCCAAACACGTAAATGCTTATTTTAAAAATCAGTTTCAGCATTTAAAAAAGCTTTTCAGCACTACAAGCTTATCAGCTATTTACAATCAGCTAATCCAAACGGGCTCTAAATTGATCACCATGTAAGAATTTCTGGTTCCGTCACTACTGATGATCTTGACATGGCAAACAACAACAAAAAACCAAGCGTAATTTCACAAGTAAGGTCTAGGAAAGGCAGTGTATAAATAAACCTTACATTTACCCCGTGAAGGTAGATAGGCTGTTTCCGAGAAATGTGGTACATAATAGTGAAAAGAAAATCTGGTATACCTAGACGTTTGGTCGTGGTTTAATGGTGAGAAATGGTGATTGTCTCTTTTAAAATTTGACTAGACACTGTATTTGTCACTTTGCTTTATTTAATTGTCAAGCTGAACACTCTTGTGTTTTTTTACGTGTAACTAGATAGTAGGAGTATTAGGTATTACATTTCTTTTTGTTCATTCTTTCTTTCTTCCATTTAACAAAATGCAAGTTTTGTTATATTTAGGAATTACGTACCTCACTTTCCCAATATGTTGGGTCATGGGTGGATTACCCCAGTAGGAAAAGCCTACTTTTGAGCTTTCATCAATCATTTTCATTTTCCACTATAAAAATGGTGTAAAGAATTATATTGACCAACATTTCTTCCTCTGTCGCTCCCTCACCGTTTTTTAATTATTTGTTTTCATTTACCTTATTTCCGTAGTTCCATGATTCTTATACTATTAAATTATTTTCTTTAGTTTATAGTTATATTCTATTATTATTGTTTGCAATGATTAGTTTGTTACAATAAATATTTTAGCGCTTGTTAATATGTTAAAGTTAATAAATAAATAAAGTTTAGTATTTTGGTGTAGATCGTATTGATTTTTTTAAAGTAAAATTTCAAAAAATTATGAAATTAATAAATTATCAAATTTGGGAAAGTAAAGAGAGCTGTTATTTATTTTTAATTTTTTAAGAACGCAGCCTCAAAACAAAATAAAGAGAAGCGAAAAAAAATCCTTTGAATGAACCAAAATAAAGAGCGGGGGCAAAACTAATTCATCTTGACCCAGCCAATTTCAGCTTAAATAATGACTCCCCCAATACATTTTCACCCGCTAAAATTTCCAGTTTTGTTCATTTGTCACCCCCAGACTAAACAAGAGTGTTATCTCGAGATATATTTGCTCTCCATTCAAATGTGTTAGAAATATACGTCATCTCACATCGACTATACAAGGACCTAAAAGAGTTTAAAAAGACTTTGAATTACCACATATTTACATATGTACATTCTTTTCTCATAATATATATAAATTGTTGAGTTTCCCAACGTAAATTCAAATTTTAAGTGTGATGTTTTTAAATTTTTTGAATTTTTTTATTCAAATTCTTGGCTCCACCACTGATCGTCGTCGTCACCTTGAGGTCCCCTCAAACTTTAGTCCATTCCGCGCATGCTACCGTGAGGCCAACTGTAGTCATCTAAATTACTTCTTTCAAATTTGTTAGATTTAGACTATTTAAATTGGGACCAAGCTAATGTCACAGTCTATGAGCAATTTGCCCCCGATTTCACCTTTGCGTCACCATGATCCAAATCCTATCTGGTACTGATTGTTACTTGATTTGTCTTTTGTGTGTCCTCGGTTCCATGTGTCGTGCTATCATTCGACCATTTATTATGAACCAATTTTACCCTATACAAGACAAGACATCGATATTCAAAGAGATTAACTTATATACACCTATGTTTAGATTTTTATACATCGACGATGTAAATAGATTTTTACAATATCAGGTTATCCTAAATATATTTATTTGTAGCCTTCCGTAAAATATTGAATTTTGTAATCTTGAAAATAAGATAAATTAATTGCTATCTACTATCTACTGAAGTTTTACTAATGTACAAGAGTGCAAAGAATCTTCAGCAAATTTGTAACTAAAGCCTTTGTCATTTGTTGCAATACACATAAGAAAAAAATGTACTCTGCATAGAAAATTTTATTAGACTGCTAGTCTAAGCCGTCCAATGCCTTTTCCTTTTGTGGTCTTCTTTCTTCTATTCTATTCTTTCTTTTTGTCACATTAGAGTATGAGACTAGTGACAAATGTAGTATGTATGTCCATATATATATATAGAGAGATATTTTTATATGTACTACATTAGAAACTTATTTATCCTTACTGTTTAGGTTTTAAGTTAATTACAAGTTGATATACAATTTACCAATTATATACAAATTAGTATTAATGAGTATCTCATTATATTACGAATTGAATATGGAATTTCCTCTTCGCTCTCTCTCTCTCTCTCTGTCTCTCTCTCATTCTCTATCAGTATTTTTATATTAATATCTTCATGTGGATTAACTGAAGAAATGATACTACTGTTAAGTGAAAAAAAGAGAGAAGATTAGTACCTAGCAAAGTTCTTGCTTCAGATCCTATGAAAACGAGGGAGTAAATAAGAAAAAATTAGCTCTGATGAAGAGAATCATTTTAGTTATTATTCTTTTAGCTTTTTGAAATTAATAAACAAAATAGTATTAATTAGAAGCGAGTAGATTGAATTGGAAACTACGTTAATCCATTAAAAACTCCATTGACAGCCATTAAAAAACTTCAAAGCTTTGAATTTGAAAATGAAATTTCATGAAATTATTTTTTGTTTGGATTGGGTGTTGTTGCAAATGATTGGGAATATCCTTTGGAGTTTATATCTCATATTTGAGACAATTTGGTGAAGATTTGAGGTGGTTTTGGTTGAAATTTCATATTGAAACTCGAAAACAAAGACATGAACAAATTATATATATTTTGTATGTCGAATATAGAAACGGAATACAAAATATCTACAACTTACATAATTGTATATAAGTTGTATATAAATTGTATGTAAATTGTAGTTTTTGACCGGATTCTGTACAAAAAAAATATGTATTTATGTTATAGATAAATTGTAGATTTTGATCGAATTTGTATGTATTTTATAAAAAAAACTTTTGTTACTTCCCGTAAATATAAAAACTTAAACAAAACCGGGTAAATAATTTTAAAATCTTGTATATATACGAAAAAATATATAACTTTGAAAGGCGTATATGGTTTTATTAAATTGACAGCCACTACGACAAAGTTATACAGTCAAACCTCTATATAACAGTTTCGTTTATTCCGATATTATTTTGCTGTTATAGAGACCATATATAATAACATAACATGAAAAATTTCTTCAAAAGAAAAGTTGGCCGTTATAATAAAGTATTGTTATAGAGAGTGTCTATTATAGAGAGATCTAACTGTACTGGTGAAGTGGTACTCTGCACTCACTAATCTAAAATTCCGCGCCGGGCGAAGTGCCACGGTGTTCAATTATTTTCCCTTGAGGTTGTGATGTTGCCTGATTCTACTTGACTCTCTTCTTTAAATTTCTTATATATATCACTTGCATAAAATTTTCTTGTTCTTAGCACCAAAATCAATGACACAATGCTTCCTGCAAATGTAGCTGCTGTAATTATCAAAAAAGCCTGCTTGTAACACTGAATCCCAACACAATTCAAATCCTCTCCAACTTTTCTTGCAATTCCCTTAGCTTCTAATTGTTTCAATGCTTCTTTATCATATAAATAACCAGCCACTCTCACATTGAGTATATATCCACCTATAGGACTAGCTATAGAACCAAAATTATACAATGTAGCATAGTACTTAATTCCAAATAACTCAGAAATTATAGCCAAAATTAATGGCATAGGATTTACCAATTTGACCTAAGTTATCGATCGCGGTCAATGTCCCTCCAACCCCAAATGTAGTAACTACAAATAGAATTAACATGTCAATGTTAAAGAGTGCTTGTAAAATTGTGTGATCTTCACCTCTCTTTGGTGGCTTAAACGCGTTTTTAAAGCATGATTTCCAATTTGTTGTTGATTCAGGCTCAGCTGATGAAGGGATATTTTCCATTTGAATGGATACATTCAATTGTGAAAAATTAGTAGCAACTTGTCTTTTGCTTTTCCAAAGATTAACTTCTTCTCTAATGATTAAAACTAGTGGTGAGAATATTAAAACCAGAACAACAGCACCACTTAAAGAATACTCAGCCCTGTCAAAAGTAAGCTTTCTTTGGATGATGATCATAATCAAGAGAAATCCAGCAAGTCCAAGTGAAAAATAGAGAAGATTATATAACATTTTGACCTCATTTTCTTGTCGAGTGACCTTCATAATCCGAATTGCAGGAAGAAAAAAGAACGATACAAGGACGGGGAACCAAGAAATGAGTAAGATCAAAGACTTACCATTATCTCCATAAAAAGCAAGGTACAATTGTGTCATAATCGCACCACTTAGGCCAACTGCACCTTTTAATAGGCCTAACACGATGCCTCGACTATTAGGGAAATTCTTGACACAAGTAACAGTTGCACCAGTATTTGCAAATGACTGAGAATTTGCACCAATGCATATATACAAACACATTTGCCAAACATGAGGTTTCGAAATTCGCCCCGTTACAGCCAGCCATATCATGAAATAACCAAAAACGTTCAAGATTGCACCTATAGCAAGAACTGCCCGAGGTGGTATAATTTCCATAATTAGACCAGAAATTATGGCTAAATTACCACCCAAATCCTTGAAAAAGCTAATCAAGTTTAGTGTTGTTTGATCATAACCTAATGAGGATTTTATTTCCCCTGAATATAGGCCAAATATGAAAGTTGCACCAGCCATTGATAGTATCATCAGAGAAGAAAATGTCATGAACCAACGGCTAGTTAGCAAATGGAGGCTAAAACTCCATATGGCTCTACATACACTATCTCTAGTCATCTCTGGCATTGCCATTATTTTTGCAGAGACTATTTTCTGTGTGATAAAATCTATGGAATTATGTTTGGAGTTTGGACTGATATATTATGAGGGGATTTAATACTAATGATCATTGGTTTGTCTTTTATATTAATTCTTTGTAACAATTGGATATTTGAGAATCTTATGCCGGCAGCTATATGATTGCTTGTTGAGTTATTTTTGTAATATAATGAATCTGAAGTCTTAACTCCTAAGCTGAGGTTAACTAAGGGAGGACACCAAAATTTTGATTTGAAATTGTAAGCGAGGTTGAAAAACTAGGACAATGAAGGGAAAATGAAATACTAACTTCTACAAGTTTGGGCAAACACATTATATAAAATAGTATACTTCTAGAGTTTGGATTATTACCTCTGTAATTCCTTTTCCAAACATAGTTAACAAGAGAGTAGAGAGGACTCTTAGAAGCAGTTAACAGAAGATAATTGAGATTTAAACTAGTGATGCTACGGTTCGAATTGTGGCCTTCTATCCATTGAGTTATCTTTGGATCTATTAAAACAATTTTCTAATATTAAAAAGGCATAATAGCCTAATAGACAAATCTACTTGTTCGGCTTTGACATCTCGATCCATATACTTAACGAAGCTTCATCTAGGCATCTTTACTTGTTCAAATATAATATTTTAAACCCTTCTGACCATTGATCAAGCCTATGTGGCAGTTGTTTTGCTGAGATGGATAAAACACGTGATTACACGCTTTAAAAAGCGAGTAAAATTTGATAATTCTAATAAATAAATAGAAAAGAAAAAAGATAAAAAAAAAAAATTATTCTTACCCCACCGGTCCCGATAGAAACCTAAGAAGAAAAATAAAATAAAAAGAATGATAGAAAATAAAATGGAAATAAGACAAAATAGGTCCCCCCCCCCCCTTCTTTGGAGTCCGGAAATAAAATGTGGTTCTTTTGGAATATGGGTATTTAACGGGCGGGCTGGGACGGGCTGGACACAAAAAAAATCAGCCCGTCTGTTTAACGTTGCGGGTTGTACTTTTTCGGGGTTTTTTTTGTCCGTCCGAGTTCGGGCGTAGCGGGCTGCTAGCGGGCCGTGGAATTTTTTTTTTTTTTTAAAGTAAATTTTGTTTTTCTTATTCAATGTTATTGATACTTAAGTGTTTGCAAACTTTTAAGGCTTAGAATTAAACTTTGAAGTTTAAAATTTTAAATTTTAAAGTTGAATTTTATAATGTTAAAATTAAAATTTGAAAGTAAGTGGCTACAAAAAATTATTTAATAAGACCTATATGTAAGGATCAAGCTCTGAAGACTTTCATTCGATATTTTTATTGAATAATATATAATACTTCAAATTAAGTTACAAGTTCTTTTTTGATTTTGTTATTTTTGAACTTGCAAATTAAAA